AATTTCACCAGTTTACTGTATATATTGGTGTCTATATCATTTATGTAAATTAGGAACAATAGTGGTCCTAAAATTGAACGCTGCGGTACCCCACTATGAATGCAGGCCCACTGTGACATTGTGCCTCTTATCACTACTCGCTGCTTCCTATCTGTTAACCAGTTATCAATCCAGGTTGCTACAGTTCCTAAAATACCTGTCGCTTTGAGTTTAAGTGAGAGCCTCTTGTGGGGGACAACATCAAAAGCCTTTTGGAAATCTAAGTAGATGACATCATAGGCCTTCTTATCAACTTGATCCCATTAAGATCATAACTCAAAAACTGTATGATGGATGCGTGTTCAAACTTTCCAGAGGTATGGGTGCCAAACTGGAACGGATTCAATTTTTGAGCCAGATCTCCCCAAAATTGAAGCAATGCCACTTAGGCCTGTCGCGATAAACGATAAATCAATTAATTGCATGATAATTAAAATGAGGTTGATCATTTCTCCGGCCGCAATAATTTTCATTTGCATGCTTGCTTGTTGTCCTTGTGTCTCTCTCTACCAAATGGGAATATCGTCTCTTTTTAGCAAACCGGCTCACCTCACGAAGAAGAGCCGGCTCTTTCAGCTCCTAAACGGCTCTGTTTAAAAAACCCGCCCCTCTCTTTGTTTAACCTGATGCTGATTAGCGTGACCTGATTTGAGCTTGTTAAAAATAAGACGCCATCTCGTGGGCGGGCTTTTTCGGTTGACAACGTGTTCCAGCCACTGTCGTCCTTAATGTTTAGGCAGCTCAAAAACCCTGACAATTCTATTAACATTAATAAAATGGCTTCCGCGTTCATGGAAATGCGGCTCGCTCATTTCCGGTCTGTGAAAAATGGCATTGGTTTATACATGCCGTTTACAGGACCTGCCCAAACTTATGATCAACGACGTACATCGCTTTTGTAAATCCTTCTCCAAAGTACCAACGAGTAAATTAGAGAAGGGCTTTAAGATGTTTGCCTTGTCTTACATCCACGGATACGAAAGGGAGTCTTATTCATTCAACTTTGTGGCTGGCGTTAGCTATAGCTCACGCGAATAGATGTTACTCCCGGACAGTGATATTAGTGTATGCGTGTAGCAATGAAGTAACTATGAACATCCCCAGTCATTCTAGCGGAGAATGTTTAACTTAGTATGTTCTATATGTGCTTAAGTACACATTGCGTTAATCTGTGTTTGCTATTCTTAGTGTCAAACAGAAACACGGGAACAGGAGAGGTTGCTGCTTCAGATCCATGAAAGCACGACAAACATCATATTGTAAAAGTATGGCAGCCCTGGTAATTTGTCAGAGTTCTAATTAAAGCTGTTCAATATTCAGATTTGTGTTGTATAGACTCATCAAAGCTTATGATAAACCGCCATAAACGAGCCACGGAGATGCTGCAGCTAACGCTTTCAGACAATGTTGTGAAAATACGCTGTATAAATAAAATTGAATATTTGGGTACAATATTACACTATTATATAGCATATTTTAATTATACACAGTTCAGTAGTTTAATTTGTACAGTACTGTAATTTGAAAAGCGTTTGAAATGGTTGCACTATATTTTGCAATCAAAATTAGAGACGCTGTTCGTTTTATTACCTATTATTCATGTAAGAAATATACACGTGTCAGTTAGACTGAGACATGAAGAAGAAAAAATCGGTTATGATGATATGGGCGGAGCAAGTGGTGGGGTTGTCCAGGGAATATGATGCTGTCATTTTGACAGCTTCCCTTTCCAGTTTAAAATTTTTTTCACCATTGCGTGAGTATTCACTCTGTTTGCAGTGACCTTCCAATACAAGTTGTTTTACTTTAGCTAAAACTTCAACTTGTAACCGTGTATTTTTTGTTGATAAACCTATTTTTTAAATCTGAGAAAAATTGTCACCTGTAAAACCAAAACTTAAATGCAGATTGCAATGACAAAACAGTTGAAAGTAACCCAGATCTCCAAACAGACTTCTGAGAAATCATGCAAGAAGAGATCAGGTTCAACAATTGGTCCTTTATTGAGGCAGTGTAAATACATACCGGTGCGATGATGGAATAAAGGAATTGCTGCAAGAGTCCAGAGGAACCTGATGATATGGCAGTGAGAGTCCCAGGCCAGAGAAGGATCTGCTGAGGAAACTTCTAAGGATCAAATGATGGCTCATACTGTATAAAGGATTAGCACTTCATCCGGGCTCAGCTCTGTAATGCGTAATCTATATAGGTTTCAAATCTGCTGTAACTCTCCATTGGATAAACATTTATGGAAAATAGGTGGAAGTTAATAAATCTTGTTACTAACCTTCCTTACATATTTTTTTGATTCATATGTGGAAATTATTTGTCAATTTTGTTCTGTGTGAGCTTTTTCCGTACCACTGTGCAATGCTACAGGACTCCTCTAGTTGGTGTTGCCATCTCCAGCGTTGTCCTTGCCAGAATTTCATTGAAGAAATGGAGCATGCTGCTAAGTCTGAAGATACCCAAGATACATTCACATTAAAATCTTACAGCAGCGATGTGGTGAATTATTCTCAAGAGGAATGTGGTGAGATTGTAATATATTACTGTCATTTATTATGTAGTTAGGCTTGTCATTTATCTTGGGCATTTTTATTTTTCTATTGTTATATTCTTAAATCATTAATAATTAGATTCTAGGATTTTTTTTTTTAAATTTTTGTTGATTTAAATAGTTTTCAACCACTTTCTGGTTTAAGAAAAATAAAGGAACATTTTTTAAAAAGTAACTCAAATCTTTGAATAAATTTACTAATTTGATCATGTAGACTGATTTTAAATTCAATGGCTTTTTAAGAGCTTTTAGCAAATCTACAGTAGATAAGTTATTACATATATCTGAATTATTTATTCAATAAAAAACAAACCATGGTTTTTGTGTAAGCATTTCACAGCAATTTCTGTTCGAGTGCTTAATTTTCAACAATGAATGAATGAATGAATGAATGAATGAATGATGTGTTTTAAACCCCTGACTGTTCAGGATAAGTGAGTGAATAGATGGATGGCTCATGTTTAAAAATAACTTTCCTGAACTTGAAAATAAATACACTAGGATTAACATTGGATGTACATTCAATATATTTCCTTTTATTTTTGTAGTATTTTTATTTATTGTCCATTTGTCATCCATATTTATTCATTGTGTAATGAAGATGCTACAACTATTACTGAAAACATTTTGAAAATATTCTTTAAGATACCATTGTTCAAAGTTCAAAGAGAACAGCACTGGGATATCAGTGGATCTGTGACATTGCTGGGTCCTGTTCTGAAGATCAAAACATCCATGACCAAACAAAGCAAGCATTTTCATTGTTACAAGGTATGTTGACTCAGCATATACAAACCTTTAAGTGAACTTTTCTGAAAATCTAGTAAATCTACCTACTCATATAAAGGAGACAATATTTTGCAAAACTCATTCCTCAGTAATCATTGCCCATACACATGTAAACTAGAAAAGGGGACTTGCAGACTGACAAAATTATAGTCTCTGCACAGGCCCGTCACTTGCTCCACCCATCTAATCCATACTCCTTGCACACTCACCAACCCGTACAGTTTCTAGAAGTACTGGAAATATGAAAACCAATACATGTCTTTTTACCTGAATACTGAGTCCTAATTGTAACATGTAACTCTGAAATTACACCTATTTATTATATTCCCATACATACGATTTTAGCATTGCTCTGCTGCCATTGCCTATGCTTTTGTATGTAAGAAGTCAGAAACCATTTGGCAGAACTTTTTCAAACTTTCCACGAACTGAAAGTGATATAATTTTGAGACAGATTGCCCCAAAACTCAAGCAGCGCCACATAGTGACAGCAAAAAAAGGATAGTTTCAAATATGTGATCCTGTTAGCGTGATAACTCAAAAAGTATTTGACAGACCTTTTTCAGACTTTGAGTGTACATTGTATGGGTGAAGTTCGGAACCTGTTCATTTTTTGAGACAAATTGTGCACCAAAATTGAAGCAACAGCGTTTAGTGACAGCAGGCTTATCCTTGTGAACAGGATCATTGTATCATTATTTACTCGGTTACCACCATCTTCTATGCAGAGACCTGCCCTCTTAACTTGCCGTGGATCTTTGTACGAGTGAATAATTTTAATACTGGGGCATGAGATGATTTTCTGAATATTCTGAAATATAGTCTATATTGATTGTTGGTCACTAGCCTCCCCATTCTGCAAATTTTAGGCATATCTGGTTGGCACAGATAAATGGCTTTGCTCTGGCCCCAAACTTCACTCTCAACTGTGTGTGTGTGTGTGTGTGTCTATGTCTGAAAAGGAGAGTGATTAACCATATTTTCCCCTTTTGTGAGAAAGGAATTGGTATACTCTAAATGAAAGACCCAAGGATTAAAAAGACTTTATTATAAATTCTGTTCTTGTTGACTGTAGCTAATCCCTCATATATACTGTAAATAAGCATGTTTCTTGTTTTTTGTCATCTGTCCATGTTGTTTATCACAGCATGAAAAGTAGTAAAAATGGATATATAAGGGCCTGGTAAATTCCTTCCCAATGTAGGCTAATAGCTACATCATATATACGTTCACTTGTTTCAGTGTGGATTGAAATACTTTTGTCAGTGATATGAAAATGCCTGTTTGGATGGAAATTGTTTTTGTTTGAAACAAAAAGATAGCAGTGTGCATGTAGCCTCAGAGTCACATGTAAAAACTAGGACTTGGAGAATTCCTGTAAAAACACATTTATTGGTTTTCACATTTCCCGTTGATCCATCCCATACTTTTGTACAGGTTGGTGAGTGCAGGATGAGTACAGATTACATGGGCGGAGCAGATAATGTACCTGTGTGGGTAATACAATGCCATTGTTCCGATCCCCGTTCTAGTTAAGGCTAAGCATTTTAAAACAATCTAAATCGTTATGATTGCTATAATTCTAGGTAAAATGGTGTGTATGGAAAATTGTCCATATTTGAGAAATTATCTTTAGAGCAAATGATGAGAACCAAGCTCATTATGCAGATATATATTTTGAAACAATTGTTAGCATCTAATGGTTTGCTATGCAGTTACCTTTGGTCATTGATAAACTGTTTGCAGGTGAATTGAAAAAAAATGGAAGCGTATTTAAAGATATTGTCCTAGTGCATTTGTACTTGAGGAGGATGGCGGACTTTGCAGCAGTAAACTCAGTGTACCAGGCCTTCTTTGAGCACGATCCTCCTGCCAGGTACCTTAGCTTTGTAATGCTTTTAAGGTCAAGATTTAATTGTCTAAATTTGAGTGACATCCATTAAACATATTATCAAATGTCAGTTGTTGTTTTTATGCTGTACATTATACTGAACTACCTGATATTTGAATGAAATCAATTGCCTTCATGGAGAGATCATTATCATAAGATCTTGAAGGAGAAATATAAGACATGAAATATGATCACGTGATACTGCCTGGTTTTCATTTCCTTAGAGTATGTCTTGAGACGCTCCTTCCTGGCAAACAGCTGATTCAGATGGACTGCCTGCTGCATCACTCTGTTGGGCTGATTCCTGAAGGTGCTTCAGAATGCAAGCATTGTTTGCATGTTCAGAGTCTGTCCCACTGGGCACCCGCAAACATTGGGCCCTACAGTCAGGCTGTCAAGGTAAAACACTCATGGGGATTGGTTTGTGGGTGCAGATCTGGACTTAAAAATATGAATATCATATAAATATTATCCATTGTATTCCCTGGCCTTCAGGGAATGCATATGGCTTTAGCACTGGTCTGTCATTGCCACCACAGATACTTTGGTATGTGAACCAATAACTCAAAAACAATTCAGCAGATTATTTTCAAACATTGCAAATTGCAACTGGTAAAACTTTGAGACAAATTGCCCCAAAATCAATATTGCTTAGTGGCAGCAAAGGGAAGGGTGAAAGCAGATGACATTTGACCTTGTGAATGTCAAGAGGCATTTGATGGATCTCTTTACTGATTCACAAAAAGATAATATAGATGAAAATCTACATCAGGTTTTATTTTCAGACATATTGCCCCAAAAACAATGTAGCAGTGCTGTATAGCAGCAAAGGAAGGAGATGTCAGCTGTTCAAAGTTTTTCAAACTTTACAGGCACATTGAATGGGTGACAAACAGGTGATCAAATTTTGAGACAGACTACCCTAAAATCAAAGCAGCAGTGTGTAGTGATATACATGAAAAAAGGGGTAGTTTCAGACATTTTGATCCCGTTAGAGCAGTAACTCAAAATATGTTTTACATATCTTTTTACAGGCCACATGGCCCTTCCAGGGCTGCATATTACCATTAATGTATTTGTTACAGTTCTTACTGATAAATAATGGAAAATATTAGTCATGGTACTAATTAGATATATGTAGAATATGAATATTTTGACACAAAGACATTCAAAGAAAAGCAGTTAACCACCTAATTCGGTGGAATGTGCAATAAATTAATGTGTAGTTTCGGATGTAAGAGTCACAACAAGGACTCCAAGCATTCAGATAAAAACACATTTATTAACTTTCACATTTCCAGGTGATCCATCCAGTGCTTCTAGAATTTGTACAAGTTGGTGAATGTGGGAGGAATACGGATTGGATGGGCAGAGCAAGTGATGGAATTGTCCGGGGAATACAATGCAATCATTCCCAGAGTCCCCCTTTCTAGTTTCTTGCAGCCACAGTGGATTAGTCCATTCATCCTGGTCAGGGATGCTAGAAGGGGCCTGTAGCCCATGCAGGGCAGCATAGGGCACATTCTGTGGGGCCATGCCCTGTGTTGACATGTTTATTTCCCTAGTATTACTGGTAAAATGTCAAATATTAATTATTCAGAAAAAGGGATTTACGTGGGCTTAATGCCCATAATATGTTCACACAATATGTCCTTAAAATGTTCCCGGAAAGTCCATAATATGTTCTCGGAATGTCCATAACTGGTCCTGAAAATGTCCTTAAAAGGTCCATAACTGGTCCTCTAGACGTCCTTAGGACGTCCCTAAAAGTCATCCTAAGGACGTAAAAAAAACTTTCCATCAGGATATCCTAAGGACGTCCTTTGAGGACAAGATCCGGACCAAAAGAGGACGTCCTATGGACGACCTAAGGACGACTTGCTGTTTGCTGGGTGTGCAGTTAGTTTGCAATCATGAACATAAAACGTTGTAGCACAAATAGTAGACTTCTTGAATTAATTTTCATTGCAACTTCCTCCCACATTCGTTGTTTTCTGTTTGCTGTTATTTGGGGATCAAATTTACTTTTTAATATGTTCTTTCTTTTATTGTATTCCCCCAAAAGTATAATCTTTTCCTCCTCTGACCAATTTGGCTTTCTTGTCTTCTTTTCTCCCATTTTTTTTTACTTTGTGAGTAACTTTGTGAGGCGATAATGGGTATCACAAGCAGGCACGAGTGCAAGCATGTGAACTGTCTCCATGGAAACGGGATCATTTTACTGCTGTAAAGTAGTCTTTCAATGTTGTAAATCTCTTAATGTTTTTCCTTAACTAAGGAAACCTTTTAAGGGGTTCTGTGCAACATCCTTAAATAATCCCTAAGGAGAAATTAAAGGAGAAATTAAATCTTAAGTGTCATACTTAAGGGGAAAACTTAAGGTGTTTTGTGCAACCAGCCCCAGGTTCTGGAAAAGGTTCTGGTTCCAGAAAAGAAGTTTGGGTTTTGTGAAATCCTTTAATGTTTTTGTTTTCTCGCCTTGATACTGATTTTTTTAATGGATACATCTTCTTTTAGTTTATTTTAATAGTACTACATCTAAGTAGTAACCCCAAAAGCAAGAGCTCAGCACAACAGTGTTATGTAGAAAGGCTTCTCTGAATGAACAACTCCTCTACCCTTATAATGATAGGTATTGTTTTAAGTGATCTTCAGGTCCTAAATTACCTAAAATAGTTCGCTATATTTTCCAAATTTATTACACCTGACTAGTATCTGTAACATCCATAATGAATATATCAATTTCATAAAAAACTAATTGCATTCTTTTATCTCAGTTACATTAACCCAATATGTACGTAGTTACTCAGCATGAATGCTGCATAGGTATAAAACACCTTTTGTAATCAACCATTTCTAATCAAAAATGTAATTGTTATTAGTAAAAAGAGAATTATGATTCACTCATTCTGACGAAGCATAATGCAGCATTGAAATGATGAAGGATAAATGTGTTAATTGTGATTGTTGTCTTTCCCATTGGCTAGGTGGATGATGCTGTGTTCTGTGCAGGACAGATTGCCCTAATTCCCTGCAGAATGCAGCTGGTGGAAGGTGGACCATCTCTTCAGGCATCACTTGCACTTCATCATGTTCTGAAGGTCTTGGAAGCCATAGACAGCAGGCTTGGTCTTTGTCATGTGCTTCAGATCCACTGTTATGTCAATCACAAGAGTTACCTCCCAGTTGTTAAACATGTCTGGGACAAGAAGCTGGAAGTTTCACACACTGAGGTAAGATGGCAAGCAGTGTGTCTGCTGTCATACAGATTAGCTGTTATTAAAAGACATGCAATAACCAATGTCTGTTGTAAGGATCATCCTAATTTACGTATGTGGTGTCTAATAAGAACATAAGAACATAAGAACTATACAAATGAGAGGAGGCCATTCGGCCCATCGAGCTCGCTTGGGGAGAACTTAACTAATAGCTCAGAGTTGTTAAAATCTTATCTAGCTCTGATTTAAAGGA